GACTGACCTAGGGTGAATTTTTAAATAGGGACAATTTTTAATGATTTTAAACAAGACACAGCTACAAATATTTGGTTTTTAATTGGCTTTTATAGGGAAATGTTTTGTATTGTTTTTAATATGCTGTGAGCCGCCCTGAGTCCCATGGGGGAGAAGGGCGGCATATAAGTCTTATTATAAATAAATAAAATAAATAAATTATGATTGTTATTTATTATTATTATAAAATAAGATACCGACTGTTTGCTGAAGATCATCATGGTAGTTGTTTTATTTCCCAGAGCAGGAAGTCAAGATATAAATCAAGCAATAAATACATCTCAATATTTTTCTCAATAAAGAGCATGAAAATGTTTGAGTTTTCTAAAAATCTTCAGTAGCTAACAGAAAATTTACAAAAGAAAAGTTACAAAAACAAATGATGGCAAGACTGAAGAAAATCCTAAAAATGGCCTGATGTTATATCCATGAGGTATAGAATTGGGTCAGTGATCCTTGGTGCTGTCTGAGCTTGGCTATTTTTTTTGTAGATGTTTCATTCTCTAAACTAGATAATATCATCAGTGCAGTAATGATGTTACCTAGTTTGGGTAATGAAACATTTGCAAGAAAACAACCAAGCTCAGAGAGCACCAAGGACCCCACAGTTCAACTCTGAACTACAAATATTCTCCTTTATTAGAATTGAGTCAGTCTGGAATAGGAATTATAGATTGAATATTATCTGCTAGAGTATTAGTAGTGAGGTTTATTCAGTGGAATGTCCTTTCCAGAAAAGTATGACACTTTTTTTAATCTCTTGCTGTCAGAATATTAGAGTATTGTTAGTTTAGATAATTTTCACATAATGAAAAAAATAGTGCTTTGCTGCACTTAGTCTTCAAACTTACCTGTTGCTTTTTAGATCTGATTGTTATTTGATTTTATATTTATTGGGCTGGATACACATATGATAATTACAGATGTCACTTTAGCTACAGCCCAACATTTAAAAATGCATTTTTTAAAAAAACAAACAAAAAAAACAGCATTGGCTTTATGTTTTTGTATTTTCTCTGATTCGTTAATACATTATTCATCGATATATAAAATATTAATATAAAGTATATATTGAGAATGAGTCAAAGACTTAAAATACTGAGGTATTTGTTCTGTACTATATAAAGAGTTTTTAAGACCTCACAATTCAGATAATTTTGTATAATGTCTACTCAATCTCAAAGCATCATTATGGGAATTAATGGGAGGTTATAGTTCTATGTTATTTTAAAAAACTGCTCGTAAAAATCTATTTATACTTTAATCAATGATCACTACATGTACATATCCTTCAAGACTTGTAGTAGTTATATGGTTGAAGAATCTGAGTATTGATTTGGATTTAAAATGTATATAACATGTTCTGCCCTAAACAGTCACAAGAAATGCAATCTGAACTAAGTAGCAGATGTAGTAATAAAGAGCATGAATGCCCTTGTTTTGTCACCTGAGATTAACAAAGAAATTGATTAGCATGACTTCATCTTGAGCAGCAGGTTACATAACCTGCTACTTTAAGTACTCTCCTTATTAAAATACATGTTTTCCTTCCCATTTTAGATTTTATTATTATTAGTCTTGAACATTTATTTATTTTTTTAAAAAAAACCCTCTAAATAAGCAATAATAAACCTCTCATTTATCCTTCTGCCACGACATGAATCAGGGAATTGGAGGATGGAGCTTTTGTTGTCTATCTAGAATAATGAGGTGGTGTTGTTCCCCCTCAAAGATACTGTTAAGTATCTTTTAAGTATTATGTTGACTTTTTAAAACTGTTTTTATACCTTTAGGCTCCCAAAATCATTGGACTTGGGCAGCTTAGAAATGTGAAATATAGATAAATAAATGCAGATCTCAAATGTCATTATTCTTGTTAACATTCCTATGTTGAAGGGTCCAACATGAGAAGCAAAGAAACAATTTTAAATATGTTAGACCATTACAAAAAGATGATTTTCAGTGTATAAATTGTGTCTTAGTAGGAAGCAATATGGCAGCAGTAATAAACATTGCATTTCTAGGATCCCTAATATAATGATTCCAAGTTTTAGCAATCAACATGCATTAAACCAACATATAAAATGTAATGAATAATGTTTGGTGTTAAGAGTAGAAATTATGTACTACTATTTCTGTTGATATCATGTCATTTCCTAGTGAAAAAAACCGAAATTATGAGATAGTAAATTAACCTCTGTTTTCATAAGGGTCAACTGCAATACATGTTTTTCCAATACTGAGAATTTTATATGAAACACTACTACTTCTCTTCCTTACAAAAATTGTCTCAATTGCATACAATTATTAACACTATAAATATACAGTACATTCCCAGATCTATTGTATACAAAGCTTTTCTAAATAATAGAGCATCAATAGTCTGAATAATATGAATAATTGAACAAAGGTCTGGGTAGACTGTAAGACCTGGAGAGTTCATTGACTATCTGCAATTCTTTTAAAAATAGACTGGAATTTAGTTGGTTGCACTCATGAAGTATTTTTACACAATACCTTTGGTCCCCAATTAGCAGGATGATTGACTTCATTTATTTCCATATTTTCCTGCAATCCCCAGGAAGCTTATTTTTTTGTATGTGAATGTGTGAGAGACAGAAGGTCTACAGCCAAGCATAGCACTAAAAGATTGGAGGGCATCTTGTCTAAGAGTCAAAACAAACCAATCCAAACCCAACAGTATTGTTGGTTTTGTAAATAATGAATAAGATACAGGTCCCTCATTCATTGAACCTAGAATTTAAGTTTAAATAAAACATGGCAAATATTATTAGGATTGCAGAAAGATAGATACAAAGGTAAGGCAATATTAACAAGGAATGAATATAAGCAAGTATATGTACATGTACTTATGTACATGTACTTGTGTCTCTGGAATGGAAATTAGTAGTGAGACATAAATAAATATGAAAATGTAATCAGTGTTGCCTAAAAACTATTATGAAGCTTCTGATAGTCATATTGATTCTAAGGCTAAGTAATAAAGTTGAATCAATATGGATATATCTAGCAGTTGTGCTTCACACTAACAGTCAATGGTGAATGGAACAATCTAAATTAAGCCTTATTGACACAGTGCTGAATAGCTAAATAGTTAAGCTAAATAGTATTATGGAGCTTGTAAATATCTCCCTAACATTTGGTTTGCAGAATTAATTGGGCAAGTTCCAAAACAATGAGAAAGACTTTCAGTCAGGCTTAGCTATTCTGTCGAACAAATACTAGACATGCTTCTGAGCTTTCACTGGTGCTCTTGAAATGTTCTTCCTCAGGGGACAAAAAAGAAAAATATTTTATTTGGCCTGAATGTTGTGACTTAGATGTATGAAAGATTGTTCTTCACAGTTCCTTAGATGTTCTAAGAACAGAATAGAAACGTCAATCTTAATCTCCAAAATAGATTCAGGTAGAATTTAGTGAAAACACTACCAACATATAATACATATATGTTCGTGGCATTTCTGTGTACATTCTGTGTACTCTCAACAAAGGCAGGCAATAATAGATTGCATTTTCCATGTTTCACTACATATTTAAGAAGTCAATTCTTCCCATTCATTTTTCAAATATTCTTTCATACTTAAAGTGATAAAATGAACCACAAATGTAAATGAATCAGCAGTGTATTCCATTTTCCTTGACACATTTATTTATTTATTTATGCATGCATGCATGCATGCTATATGATAGTGACCTTGCACAATTCATCTTTGGAAATGTCTCAGCAGGCAGAAGGGTGTGTGTGTGTATTGAGAGCCTGAGAATTCGATATTCTTGCTTGATCATTCTTTTAGTGATTCCATTGAAATCTCCATGAAGTATAAACCAACCCTCTTGAGCTGTCCTGTTGGTCCTAATAACAAAATTTACTTAGATTTGTATGTCTGTTTTATATAAAATGCGATATTCTTTCTGATAATGGACAAAGAAGAAGGTTGGGGTGCAAATAAAATAATTAGTTTTCATTCATAGAGTGTTTCCCTGTGGATTACAAGTGTAAAAGATAAGACTGTAGGAAAGTGCATTGATCCAAACAGTATGTCTCTGATGTTTTTGTATCCTCCTTTTCATCATGTTGCTTGAGATATTTTTATTTAAAGTTGTTTTTTTCTTCTCTAATTCCAGGTGACAACGCATGCCGTGTTAATAATGGAGGCTGCAGTACCCTGTGTTTAGCGATACCTGGAGGCAGAATGTGCGCTTGTGCCGATAATCAGCATTTGGAGGAAAACAGTACAACCTGCATGTGTATGATCTTCATGAGAAAATTTTGTATTTCTCCTGTAGGGAAGATAGAATAATAAATATAGAGTATAAAAAGGGCATGATTGACAAACATCAAGCAGATAAAAACCCCAGCATTTTGTATTAGGTGGCTTTCATTCTTTCAGGAATTTACAGGATTTAAGGGAAATCCTTCTGAGAAATTTAATAGAAATTCAGAATGACAATTTGCTTAGTTACTTATTGATGAGAAGCTCACATGTGTATAAAACTTTTTTTTTTACAAAGGATCTTTTAAAAAAGAATAGTGGAAGGCTGAAAAAGCTTTCTTACTTTTCTTATAACATTACCCACAATCCTCCTCACCTCCAGGAAAAATGGATTGAGGTAGAGATGCAACTGGGTCACCAGTTGTGCAAAGACATCCTGGACATCGCCTGTACCTTCCCGTTAAGTAATAGTACTTAATCTGGGAAAGTCCCCAAAGTCCTCATACTTCAGGGCAAATACAGAAAGACACAACAGAAGCAATAAAACTGTGATGGGTGAACCCCACCTTCTAGATACATACTGTAATATGAAATGAAGATTAAATTGCCCCAATTTAAATTAGATTATTTGACCTAAAAAAGTGAAAAGCAGCATTGTTTTCATTTACTCTACTCTACTCTACTCTACTCTACTCTACTCTATTCTACTCTACTCTATACTCTACTCTACTCTACTCTACTCTACTGGACTTACTTAAACAAGATTAATTGTGAAGGAATCAGGCTAGAAAGTGGAATATAGTGAGTTCTTACTCCTACCTCAAACTCAAAGTCATTTTGGGCAAGTTAATCTCCTTCAGCCCTAGGAAGGAAGCAATAGCAAGCCACTTCCAAACTGTAGGAACCTTTCCCTTTCCCCTTTCCTTATTTTTTACACAATAGTATGGCCTTATTGAGACAGTTTCTCTCTTGGCTTGTAAGTATGTTGTGAACAAAATAAGATAATAATGTCTAAATGTTGACACATCCCTCATTATTGCATTGATTCTTGTTAACTCTTTTTTGTGTGAGAGGTTTTCAGCCATCATTAGCTGGACTCAATGAGATCCAAAAATAGCTTTTAGATATCATTTTTAAAAGTTTCTTAAGGGTTTCCTTCCTATATATTTTTAAATAGATAGTGTCCCCCCCTTCACTTTGGATACAATCTTATGGGCATCTGGCTGGTAAACACTCAGCTCCATCCAGTCTCATTGATTCTATCCCAATTTAAGGGATTATAGGGGTGTAAAAGAGGAGTTTATTTGTGATACAATCTTCCCAATATCCTAAAAGTTCCATGAAATTTGTGCATATGTAAAATAAATAATAAACATACCTACAATTTTAGCCTTTTTGGTTTTATGTTCAACTGATCTATACAGTTAAACACAAATGGGCCTAGTTGTCCCATCCAATACTAACAAATCATTATTTTATACATGACTATGTGAAGTCACAGCTGACAGTTCTTTAGCTGGTGTTGGCTTTCATATGCATCACATTCTTCCCAAGAACCTGGGATATCATAACATACTGCCATAAATATTTCCAAAAATCCCAGTAGAAAGTAATGATAAACCAAGGTTATGTTATTGCCCACAAAACTTCAGCAATGTTTCTGTGTACTTACCAGAAGAGCTCAACTTGAGAGCATCTTTACTTTTATCATATGTGTTAGTTATTGGATGAATCAGTATGTATCTAAGACCACGACATTTTGTAATGTATGTAAAATAACTCAAATGGTAACATATTTAAAGGAAAAAGTATTCCCTTTAATATTTTAGTAATGCAAATACAGATTTGTTTGCTAACATGAAACAAATTTAAAGATGTTTTCCCATAAGCTACTTTAAAATCAAACTAAATTGAAGATGAAACAACAGATACATGATTTAGTCAAAATATTTTATTTTTGATTTGAGGAATATATATATTATTCTTCAGTGCACAAGTAATTATAATAATAATATTTCCCAAGTTCTTGAATAGTAGATTGATTGATCCAACCTATATGGTTGCTATCTGTCTTAAAAAAATCTCCTGGTGACCATCATCACCGCCAACAATAATGTTTCTTATTTGTATCTTTGTCCCTTTAGTTAATACTGAAGAAGTATTACCTAAGTTATGCAAAGTGGGTGAATTTCAGTGCAGGAACAAGCGCTGCATCCAAGATGGCTGGCAATGTGATGGTGATGATGATTGCCTGGATGGCTCTGATGAGCATTCAGAGATTTGTTGTATGTATCTGAATAATATGGTATATAGTATCTATTTGTTTAAGCTGTTGTTATGAGAGTTTAGATATAATGTATTCAAAAATATGTAAACATCTAAAGGGAATGAAAATAAAATAAACATGAAAATAAATCATGTAATTATTGGGCATTATATTCTACTAGAAGAGCATGGCTTCAGAAAATGAATAATGCTAATGATTTAAAAATCTAATGTGTTTGCTTTGATCTAAGGCCCCCTGACCTTGTTTTGTTGTTGGGCCAGATGCAAACTCTGCTAACCAATGAAGATAATCAATTTCAATATTTTGAAGACAGAATTACTTATGGAAAATTGCTTAATGTTTCAATGCTTCTTGGTAATATTTTAAGGATTCTGAAAAACAGACATAGGTTTGGAAAATGATATTTTTTACAGCTTTATAACATGTAAAAGTAAGCCAAAGGAAACCACAATACAAACAATAGTATAGTGTTTTTCAGAGGTTTCAGAAATGGCAATTACTTATGTAACACATGATGGCAACAGTCTGCAGCATCTTTGTTTCCATGAAGTTTTAAATTTTTTCCAACTTTTAAAAAATGTATAATGAGAAGAGATAGTGCAGTTCTATAGTGCAATGTATAAAACCTATATCAATTTTTTCCAGAAGATCGACACACATTTTCAAAGCAAACACTTTAACACAAGTATTCAATCTTCTTTCTCAACTCTTTCAATCTTGCATTTAAATGTTGATTGTGATGCCTAATATTTTGTCAGAGTAGTTTTGGAATATTATGTGATTTTATTGATTACTTTTATGAATAAGGGATTTTTTTTTACTCGTAGTTTCATAGTTTGATGTAAGATTAAGAAAAAATGAAAATGCTAAACATTTGTTGTTTCTTTTTTCAGTGTATGCAATTTATTATAAAGCATATTTACAGTGGAATGTAATGGTTGTTACTGGATATAAAAGGTATTATTATGTCTTCCAGTTAATCATAGTTGTCCTGACAATCAATTTAAATGCCATAATAACCGATGCATCCCTAAGAGATGGCTTTGTGATGGAGCAAATGATTGTGGTAACAATGAAGATGAATCAAATGAGACTTGTGCAGGTAAAAGGAAACAATAAAACAAATCAAGCACATTTCCTTGTGATTATGTTTGATCTTAAACCTCTGTTGAATATGTTCAGATCTAAAATTTTGGTCTGAAGGAAGCCAAGCCATTACTGGTTGCCATCAGTTTTAAATAAAATAATTTCTAATTAGGTGGTGTTTTACTTAATCTTGTTAATTGGCTTACTTTACTAAGTAATTTTTTTTTACCCTTCCTACCTACTTTCCTCCTCCCCTCCACTTTACTAAGTAATTTTAACTGTCCATATGGACTAACTCATATGTTTCTCTCCCCACCTCACTCCCTTCTGGAGTTTGACATTTAGCAGGTATGTTGAGAGATACTGCTTGTAAGTCAGGCCATAGATTAATTGCCATGTAAAATTTTGGTATTGAAAAGACCTAATAATTATTAGCCATATTCTCTCTGTATAACACATTTCAATCTTGGCAGCTGTGCAGAATAACATGCACAGACTAGAGACGGTAGTTATGGAAACATTCAATAACTGGTTGGCTTCATGGGAAGGATGGGAAGAAAAAGCTATGGATTTAACAAAATGTAATTTTAAGAGAAAGCCAGTTTGGTTAAGGTGTCAGGCTAGAAACTGGAAGAATGTGAGTTCTAGTCCTTCCTTAGGAATCCAGATAGCTGAGTGACTTTAGGCCAGTCACTCTCAGCCCTTGGTAGGAGGCATTGGCAAAACCATTTCTGAAAAACCTTGCCAAGAAAACTGCAGAGACTAGTCCATGTAGTTTCCAGGAGTCAAAACTGATTCAAAGTCATTTTATTATTATTATTATTACTGTTGTTGTTATTATTTTAAAAAAGAAGGAAAATGGAATGGATAACTGAATTGTTTCATTTGGCTTCATCCTTATTGCAATAAAGGTTCTTATCTAGCTGAACTGTGACTATGACACATCTGCCAAGTCCTTACTAAGAGCTAAATAAAACTGTGTAAAACCAGGAGATCTTGCTGAGCCCTGCTCACAGAAACCTGAGAGTGCTTCCTAATCAGTACCAATGTTACGGCACTGCTCATTGTGTCCTTCTGAGGGGACGCCATGGCATCGTGGCTTAGAACTGCTGGCCAGAAATGGTCTGCACTCCAGCGGTTCGAGCCTGGCTCTGCAAGACGAGGTGAACTCCCACCTCTTGCTTCCCATCTCCTGTCTATCCAGCAGTTTGAAAACATGCAATATTGCAAGTAGATAAATGGGTACGACTTCAATGGGAAAAGCCTAGCTGTGTTCATGTGTGCAGAGGGCAGAACCCGGCATTGGACCTGGCCGGGCGAACACAAGGCGAAGTGAAACCAGAAGAGCCAGCAATCTGAGTGCCCTTAGTCAGCTGGTATAAGCTATTTTGCCCCCTATGATGCACTGAGGACAGGTGTGCAAGTGCTAAACTGAATGAAGTAGCAATTTAGGATTGCCTTGTGTCTAGCATTTATAGATTTTGCTCACATTGTATGAAATACGCTAAATAAATAAATAAATAATTTCCTTATGGAAATGAAGAACTCTATTCAATTTGTTTTATTATATTTGGTCTCAGTTACTCTCACTATTTCCTGAATTACTTTCTTACCACCATTTAGCATCTTCATTGCTGATGAGATTTTTTTTTTGTTAAAAAAATAGGGATTCCCAAGCTTATTAGACTCAATAATTATGATCTAATCTTAAACTTCCTCTTGCTTTTTATTTAAGAAATAAGAGAATCAGGCTTGTTAATTAAGTTTATTTAGTTCTTTCTAATTAGCATATGATCATAAATTGTAAAGTTGGATCTTGGAAAGTATTTAGTCCAACCCACTACTCCAGTGCTCTACCAGCTAGCCATATCTCTTTCTTTAAATATTTTCAGTGAAGTAGATTCCTTTGTCTTCTGAGGCAGATTCTTCCATTGTTAAATAATTCTAACTGTTATAAAAAGCTTCATGATTTACCATCAGAAATGAAATCCCTTGTTTCTTGTCTTGCATTCTGGAACAACTCTGAACAATTCTGTTCCGGCTATTCATATTCTTGAATGCAATCATCATATCTCTCTGCAGTCTTTTTTTCCTGTAGGCTACATACATCTGAAGCTGTTTATACACTTTCCCTTCTTTATCCTCTTGGTTGCTCTCCACTATACCAGTTCCAGTTTATCAATGTCCTTCCTAAATTATGATATCGAGAAATGGATGCAATATACTAGGCATTGCATGAGCAACAGCAACAGAGAGGAACATTATGTGTCTTAGTCTTAACAATATATTTCTGTTGATTCAGTGCAAAACTGCATTTGCTTTTTTTTTTTAGTTACGTGCATTGTTGCCTCATAATTCAGCTCATGCTCCACCAAGGCAACAAGGTTTTTTTTTTACATGTACTGTTGTCCGCCGTAGTTCCTTTCATCCTGTACTCGTGCCTGTGAGTTTTCTTACTCAAGTGAAGGGCTTTGCATTTTTCCCTGTTAAAAATACATTTTCATGGTTTTTGCTCATTGTTCCAGTTTGATACTCAGTGCTAACCTGTAAGGCAGCCATTCTCAACTGAGACCTGAAAATTATTTAAAGGGTTCCTCAAGGATAAAAAGGTTTAAAAGGCTGTTTTAATGTACTTGCTATCCTCCCCAATTTTTATCACCTGAAAGAATCTCTCCTTTTTTCTGTAGGAAAAATGTGTAGCTGATGTTTCTATATCCTTTGTTTCTAATTCACTTTTATTTCTTTAGTATATTTATAATATTGTCTGTATGTGCGTTTGTGTTTATGTGTATTTTTATTTTCTTCTGTTCAGTCATGTCTGATTGTCCAGGACTGCCTGGACAAAATACCTTGCACTTTTTCCTGATATAGTGTTTTTTTTTATGTGGTTTGCCATTGCCTCCTTCCTAGGTTTGAGAGAAAGTGACCCCTACACCAAATTGGCTTTCCATATAGAGACATAGAGAAAGAGGAAGAAAGAGGAAGAGATTAGATAGAAATGACATTTTAATGTTGACATTTTAATAAAACTTCTAAAAAAAATTACAATTGTTCTTATTTAGTATAGGAAATATATATATATTTGATGTGGCATTTAAAAAGCTTCTAGCATATAAAATTGCAACAAAACATACAGTGCATGGCAAATATACATAGGAAATATGAATGACTCAAGATGATTTTATTTGATCTCCATTCTGTAATTTTAATATCAATTTATCATTCAAGCAAGACCATGTCAAATAGATCAGTTTTCCTGTGGGAATGGACGCTGCATTCCACGTTCATGGTTATGTGATCAAGAGGATGATTGTGGTGATCATTCAGATGAAACAGCAACTTGTGGTAAGTTGAATACAGACTTTATAAATAGAATATTTGTTTCATATAAGAAATTGATTTGTAATTTGATAGTACTCCTGACAAGCCATTTATTGCCTAGCTCTTCTGTTGTCTTACATATTAAACTCCTCTAGGAATGAGTATCATGCTCCCACTATTTAGGCAACAGATTATCAGATAACTAGGTTATATAAATTCTTTCATAAAATAAATACTACCTGTCTTTTTTCTGTAATTCAATATTATTTATTTGTTTGTTTCTTGGGCATATCAAGTACTTGACAAAATATATAAATCAAACACTTGAGATATAAAAGGGTTTTATTCAAAATAGATTAAAATGCAATCTTGATATTATTGAGAAGAAACAGTTCAGAAAACTTTTTACTTCTCTCTTCCTGGGACTAAACTTTTTTTTTTTTTAAAGAGCAATCAAAATGATAATGTCTGTCTTCCATGTGTACTTATTCCTTCCTTTCATTGGTTAGCTTAGCAAAATAATAAATAAAATAAAATAAAATATACAATAAGGCAGTGGGGAACAGGAATCATTAGAAATAATTCACTTTTAGCAAATTATAAAGGTGGTATTTGGGAATTAATGAAGAAGAGATAAAGTGTCATAAAATGAACGTAGAAGCATAGGAACATTTCAGAAACACAATGAAAATGTGTCTCCTATTGTTAAAAAGAATATTTGACAAGAATATAAAGTCACAGCTGCAAACAGGAAGAGAAGAATGCAAGAAAAGGAAAAGATTAGAAATGCACTGAGATCATTGCCAATAAATGGCATAAACAGTTTGTAAAATAAAGGTAAATAAAATAATAATAATAAATAAACTGGCTAGGGATGTATAGAAGAAGCCAAATCTGGAAACTTCTATTGCTGCCAAATCCTAGAAAGACTTTGTGCTTGTAAAGCTAAGGAATTAT